TGTGACTCTTCACATCCTTCTTTAATCCTCTTATTTAACAAAAAAAACCTTTTAACAGGCCTCTGTAAAAGGTTTTTAAAAAAATCCTTGCTTTTTTGCATATCCTTAACCGTTTTTCATCCGTCTAAAACAGGTGAGTCAGGAAAGGTTCCCATAACACTCAACTGTTAAAAACATGAAGCAGTTTTTGCATTCAAATGAACTGGTGTTAAGAAGAAGAAGAAGATTCAACTTATTGTCATCACGTAGTACAGGTACTATGTAACGAAACGTTTTCTCTGCATTTGACCCATCCTAGTGTTAGGAGCAGTGGGCTGCGATTATGTACGGCACCCGGGAAGCAGTGTAGGGAACGGTGCCTTGCTCAGGGACACCTCGGTAGCACTTGGTCTACTATGGACTTCGCCACCACCGCCCTTAAAGAGCTAATATTGTGAGAAATATATAATGAAATGAAACTGAATAGAAGCACAACAGGAGAACGTTTATTTATGAATTGTGCGGAGAGAAAGTAAAGCAGATTTCCAAAACAGCAGGCTGCATAAAAGAGAATGAATTTGCAATGTAAGCAGTCACTGTTAGCTTTAAAACTGCAGATAGAGCTTAACTGTATATTGTGAAAGAGCAATGTGTTCTCTAAACATGTATTATAAATTGATACATCATATTAGGAGCTTTATTTGGTCAGGAGTACCAACTCTGTTCAAATGTTTTGAAACTTTAGGTAGGCAACAAAATGCTGAAAAATGCCAGATGTCTGGTTTCTGTGACATACCCGAGCCACTTTCGGAACATATTTCTATTTACAGGAACAACTGTTGGAAATGAAATTGCCGGTGTCTGGAGATACATCAGAGAGACACCCTCACTCTCTCTGTCTCTCTCCTTAACACCTGGGAAATACCTTTAAAACCTCAGCCTTGTACTGCCAATCATTCAGTGGCAGCACACGATTAGTTGAAGGCTCAAGAGCAGCCTCACTGCGGGGCGAGGAGAGTGACTCTCTTTCCTTCATCTACCATTTTTCAGCCAGTATTTGGATTCAAACTGGCAACCTTCCAGTGGATCACACCCCAGGCTGTCTCTCTTTGTGTCGCTGCATATATTTCTCTGTGTTTTATCCCTCCCCCTGTATCTATTTTTCCTCAGTGTCTCACTTTTCCTTCTCTACTTTCACTGTGGCTTTTTACCGTGACATTCGAGGGGCCGTGGAGTGATATGGAGTAAAGTGGAACAACATCAAACGTGCCCCCCCCCCCCCCCGAATCTATCCCTGTGCTCCCTGTACCAAATGCACCTGGCAGAGGCTTTTAATTTGTTTGTTTTTGGTTTTGGTCTTGGTTGTGGTGGGGCCATCTAGCTATTTGAATGAGATATTTGCTTAGTGAATCGGTAGTGACAGACTATTACTGAGGTCAGGCTGGAGTGTGGGAGTGCAGATCATTGTGTGTGTATTAGAGCAACAGGATTTACTTGTTGAGTCCAAAGGCTTTACCCCGCTGCAGGTGTGTGTTCCCAGCTCGATGTGTTTGATCTGCCACAGGTGTTTGAGAGGGTGTGGGCCTGCGTATGGTGATTTATGCTATAGGCTCAGAGCTAAAAAGAGCCTTTTTGATCTCATCCAGGAATAGACAGGAAGCTCTGCACTGTGTGTGTGTGTGTGTGTGTGTGTGTTTGTGTGTGTGTTTGTGTCTGTGTGTGTGTGTCTACGGGTGTGTGTCAGGCCAGAGATTTTTAGCCGAGTCCTTTGATCCCAACTAGGGGTGGGGACATCTCTATGAGGAGTCAGCCAGCAGTATGGAGACTTGGCACGAGCTCCGGGAGTGTGTTTGAGTCTGTGGGAGAGTGAATATGGCCAGGATCAAAAGTGGTGGCTTGTGTCGGAATGTGTGTGTATATGTGCAGTCGTGCGTGTTATGCACACGGCCAAATAACCTGCTGTTTTGCATGTGGCTATCCGTCAAATCAATGATACGATGTCTGAACTCAGAACAGTTTCCACACTAATGGTCTGCTTTTGGCTCTGCCTTACATTGATACACACACAGATAAGAGGGGTTGACTTTCAAATTCACCAAAAAACAAAAAAACAAGCCTTCCAGAAGCAGACACTTAAAAAGTACCAAATCAATTTTCATTTAATTTCTTGTAAATACACTGTGATGGTATTATGACTCCCTACCTGTCACGACTCAAATTGAAATCCTGTAAGGAACTGAAAGCGCTGCACTGGTAGCTCATTTCCAAGGTAATAAATACAAAAACAGAATTCATTGATTGAGAATTTATTTAAGCTTATTTTATTACCACCTTATCAGTTAGGCTCCAAATCAGATCTGTTGTTTAGGGCTTTTGCCCAGTGGGGCTGCAGTTGTAATTTGACATTTACACCCCAGTGCGTTAATTCCATCTCTAGAGTTTCACGCTGGGATGAGAGGCTTTTCTGCAAAAATGAAGTACTGCATTAGTGCTGTCAGAGCCCTGAGGTGGAGCTCACCATCAGCTGTATGACCTGACTCTTATAACCAGAAATCATAGTCTGACAAAACATCCTCACGTAATAAAACAAGAGAACCTTGACCAGCTTGAATGTAGTTTGGGATCATTACTATATATTGAGGCTGGTGGTTATGCTTGCTATGTGGTTACAGTATACATCTGTATTGTACATCAGGGTGGGAATGCGTCTTTGGGTCACACACACAGGAAAGAAACTGCATAAAAAACATACAAGCAGTGAGCAAAAGCACACACCTAAACATCATTATATATTGCAGCAGTTCATGTTTTTAACTCATATTTTCACTTTGCTCAGGGAAGAGTAATTATGGCGCTCGGAAAAGAAGAAAGTCTTAAATAAATGTTCAGTTGCCAAGGCGTCTACCTCTACCTACTAGTTAGCTCCTTTCACAACACCAGCCTGTTCTCCTCTCATAATATTAGTATGCTGGTGTGTTCTGCTTTGTGTAAGTACAGACTCAAAAGCAGGAACATTGACCCACTGCTATTCATTGTGAACGCTTTCTGAGCTACTGTACAGAGATTTAGAAGGAGACACTGAAGGAAACTTGAGCAAATGCTATCTAACACAGTGTGAGCGACAACATGGCGGTAGCTGATCAGGCTAGTTCTGTTCCCACAGAAACTGAAACAAAGAGCTTTTTTCTTTAGCTTCGAGCACAAACACAGGAGCGCCATGTCAATCAGTCTTCAGTTTACACAGCGGGTACCGCGAGGTAGAGTAAAAAATGATAGCAGAATGGGCTATTCAAACTCAGGGAACCAAACAGATGATGAATTAATTTTTCATTTGTAGTATAGCAGCTCTATTAGAAAACAAGAGTCCAATTGTAGTACAGTATGTATGTTATGTTCACAACGCTGCACTCCCACAGAGCTGCAGATTCATGAAAGGCCACAGACCGCCTACCACTGCATGTGTCTGTATGTGTCTGCATGTGTGGATGCTGCTACTGCTGCTTCTGTTTTCTCTTTTCTCTCTTCCGTAAAGTAAGGCTGCTCGATTATGGCAAAAATCATAATCTCGATTATTTGGGTCAATAAATGATATCACGATTATTAAAAACGATTATCCATTTACTTTGAAAACATCAATTGATTTAAAAACAGTATGTTTTTAACAGTTGATAACCCTGAACCAATAATAATAAAAAAAAATAAAATAATAATAATCGTTTTATTTCGATTAAGTTGTTTTCGTAATCGTTGCAAGCCATAATCGTAATTGCGATTAAAATACGATTAATTGAGCAGCCCTAGTGTAAAGCGTTACGATGAACATGGTCTCATGGCTCGTATATTTTGTATCTTCATCATTTCTTAGGCATCTGTTTGACCATGAGCCTAGGTATTGTATAGTAGGATGCACTTCTCGAAACTGGATAGCTTTCACTGGACTAACTTTCCCAAAACTAAAGTAGATGTTTGCTTATTTGGAGACAGCTTTTTGCGAAACAATATTTGTTTTAGCCTTCAATATTAGTTAAAAGTAATGAATCAGGGTTTTAATGGAGAGTAGCACAGCACTTTTAACTGAACAGTCTAAATTGAGTAGTTAATATCTCTAACGTGAATGTAATTTCCTACTTTCTGAAAAATCTTTGTTTTGACTGACATTGGGTTAAGTAGATAATACCCTGTATGAGCTGATTCCTTTAATAAGAAAGAACAAAGGAGATTGTGATCGATGGATGAGGAAATGAACGGGCCCAGATGGATTAGAAGATATACTGCAAAGAAGAAAAGTAATCAAAGAGAGAAAATAAGTAATTTGTAGAGAAAGAAAGTGGAAGGGTTGTCATTTATGGGGTCACACAAGTCAATGAATGGATGAGAGAAGACCACACGAGGGTCCAAACAGAGTCTTAAGCCCCTTTCACACATGCACTGCGACTGCAACCCTGAAATTATCTAGGCATAACCCTGAGGAGCTGTATGTGAGAACGCAAATGTCAGAGCCATTCGGACCGGACATCAAACAGACTTTACCCCGCCAGCTCCCTAGAACTAAGTCCCTGTGAAGTCCGATTGAGCCCATGTGTGAAAAGAGCTGTCATGGAGAGGGGCATTCGCGGCAAGCGAGTAGGCACGGTGATAACTGGCCTAAAACCGCTAAAATCAGGGGGTTAAGAAAGAAAGGTTATTTACATCGCAACTTTTACAAAACTGTCTAACTAGAGGGACAACGAAATCTGGGACTGTCTTTTGCCAATGGCTGATGCTGAGAATTTCAGACAAATTTAAGGAAAGGCGATTAATCTATTGTTCCTGACCAAATAACACAACGGTGTCCAAACTTTTTTCACCGAGGGCCCCATACAGAAAAATACACAGAGGGCTGGGCCACTCCCTAGAGGTGAGGTATATTGCAGTGTTTCCCATACATTGATTTATTTCTGGTGGGCTGCCACAATCAAATATCGTCCGACACAAATTGATCTCATGAAAACAATTTTTTTTGGTATTTTGGTGGTCTAATCATGGATAGTGAGGTGGGCTGATGACCAGAAGGTTGCGAAGTCAAATCCCGCCTGGAACACCACTACTAGTGTGCCCTTGAGTAAGGCACTTAGCCCTCAGTTACTCCAGGGAGAATGTCCCTCTAATTGGTCATTGTAAGTCGCTTTGGAAGAAGGCGTCTGCTAAATGCCTAAATTGTAAATTATATTTTTGGGAGAATAAACCCCACAGATCCTCAACTCCGGTGTGTCTCACTCATTAACAACGCAACACAGAGCAACAAGAACGTTGTCTAAGTAGCCATGAACTCGCATGTATTTTCTTATTTGAGGGGGGGGTGGATGCGTGGACCACCCGAATAGGTTAAGGGGCCTCTGGCTTTTCTTTTTTTGTGCGGTGCCCCCACAAATAGAATCAAATTCTGTGGGAAACCCTGTTAGTCACGAAAGATGTCTGCTGGTCCCAGTAGGATCTGAACTGATGATTGAACGTGTTTCTCCTCCTCTTCCTCCCCCAGGTGGTGAAGGCCTTCGACCACAAGTCTCAGTCCCACGTGGCTCTGAAGATGGTCAGAAACGAGAAGCGTTTCCACCGGCAGGCGGCGGAGGAGATCCGGATCCTGGAGCACCTGAGGAAGCAGGACAAGGACTCCAGCATGAACGTGATCCACATGCTGGAGAACTTCACCTTCAGGAGCCACATCTGCATGACCTTCGAGCTGCTCAGCATGAACCTGTACGAGCTCATCAAGAAGAACAAGTTCCAGGGCTTCAGCCTCCCGCTGGTCAGGAAGTTCGCCCACTCCATCCTGCAGTGTCTGGACGCGCTGCACAAGAACCGCATCATCCACTGCGACCTGAAGCCGGAGAACATCCTGCTGAAGCAGCAGGGCCGCAGCGGCATCAAGGTGGGAGAGAGTCCAGAGACCGGGGGGGTTTGTGCCTCTCAAGGTGTGTCGATGCGTCTGTTAAATGAACTTTTCTGTCTCTCTGCAGGTCATAGATTTTGGATCGAGCTGTTACGAGCACCAGAGGGTTTACACCTACATCCAGTCCCGGTTCTACAGAGCGCCAGAGGTCATTCTGGGTAAGAGACACGAGCGGAAAGCAGGCTTTAATTCACATCAAACATATTAACTTCCCTTTCCCTTCTTTTGCCATCTTTAGTTCTTTGAGCCATGAAAACCACAATTGTACTCTGGGAATTAAAGCCTATGCAACATTTACATGCACGAAAACTATAGGAGAGGGAACACCCCCAAAGCAGAATAGGTCCCGTTTTTAAAGGATGCTTTTCGACGGTTTGATCTAGATCAGTGGTTCTCAACTGGTGAGTCGCGACCCGAAAGTGGGTCGCGGACCCGTTTCGAGTGGGTCGCGGATGTACGAAAATTGGAATTTTTTTTTTTTTTGGGGGGAAATGTCAAACTTTTATTTTGAAGGCCCGATTTTCTAACGCTTTGCATGCAGTCGGCGTTGGACTGGAAGTACCGGAGACCATAAACGGTTTTGAAAGCTTCTGTCACGTAGTGATCGTCTTCTCAATAAAAGATCTTTGCTTATGTTTTTCCGAGTCTTCTGGCCAATCAGAATCAAGATTGTTGCCGGAAGTCCCCACGGAGAATAACTTTGCGGTAGAACTATTCTTTATACATCCATGGGTACAACTTCAGATACAAATGAACACATAATGAAATATGACCCCCGGTCTGATGATTGACAGGTCACAGAACAATGGGAGCTATCTACCCTTACCCACAATTTAAAGTAAGTCACACAGACTATCTCCTCTTTACTCTTCTCGCAGCAAGCTGTCAGAACAAAGTGAAAAACAAACAATGTCATAAAATATTATTAATATGTCGGGTAGTAACAGATTTATTTTGTTCTCAGAGTGTACCAGAATGCATAGTTTATGTTAGTATTTCAAAAAATCTCCTGGGGGAGAATCCCCCCTACCCCCCTGCTGGGGTTGGGTTTTCAGCATGTGGGCCTTTTTATATAGTTCAGCTTTGATTCCATCATCTCATTAAACCTTATC